AGCAGCGAGAGAGAGGAGTCCACAACTGACAACAGCTCCGCGGGCGTTCAGCCTGGGGAGCAGGAGCAGGGGGAGGGGGGCGGACGGGCGGTCTTTGGAGCTGAGTTTGGGCGCACAGGAAAATATTCAATTCGTTGCATCCTTCCTGAGATTTGGCCGCTTCGCCTGGCGTATATGTTAAGGAGCGACTGCCGCCAATTTAATTGATTTGTTTTTTATGCCAAAGAGGATTACATGTTGTCGTGCCAGAGCTTATAGCTGCCCCCACCCCCCAGCCACGCCCACAGCCGCCCTCGCCGAGGGTTGAGTGGCTGCACGTGGCCCTTTGTGAATCTGTGTGACTTTGCGACTTTTGGCCTGGTCGCCGAGGCCCAGTGCTTACCACCAGCTGCGCAGGTGAGCTGCGCCTCGGCCACGTTCGTATACGTATATGTGTGTGTGTGTGTGTGTGTACGCTATCTATATGTAGAGCTGTTGATAAGGCGCATAGTTGACTGGGCGCCGCTTTGTTTGGCATCAGTTGCCACATGGAGTTAGCCCGAAACAGTTCGTACATTTTACACCGTGGCGCCCAGAAAACAAACATAAATATAAATATAAATAAATATTTTTATAATTTTTATGGCGAATTAACACTAAGTGACCCGGTTGAAGGCAAAGCACATCGATTGTTAATTTTCTTGCCATATACAAATACGCGCAACAAGGCCATTTTTGGCATAAAATTTAAATTAAACACTCGCCTATTCCGGGAATATGTCGCTTTGAGGCAGCATCTTCTGTGATTACACGTCGATCCCGTCGCGCCATGAGCGTAAGCGTTGATGTCGGCGTCATGTGGCGCCTCTCGGAGGATTTGAACCGGCGCTTCGGCCTGCGCATGCAGACCGCGCCGACGGCAACACATCATCCGCTCAATCCGCATCACACGGCCGTGCATCACTATCACCATCAGCACCATCATCATACCGGACATGCTGGACACGCGGCTGGCCATGCCGCACACACGCACACCTCCATGATCTTCAATGGTAAAGCATTCGGCATTTCCGGCATAGGCATAGAAATGCCTGAGCTCAATAGAAGAAGTGCCAGCAAATTCCTAACTCTAGCGATCTTGCGCTGTCTCTCTCTATCTAGCGCAGCTCCTCTCTCTCTCTCCCTCTCTCTCTCTCTCTCTCTCTCTGTCTCTGTCGCTGTCTTCGCCTCTCTTGACCAATGAGTCACCGGGGACTATGTTGTTTTCGTGACTGCAGCCGACAATATTTTTGTAGGGGGAATTTTTTAAATACTCTGTAGCCATCAAATATGGTCCATCCATGTGCATGATGCAGTTGGGCAATTGTGCAAATCATATATAATCTTGATCAGCCAGAACAGTCGAGGCGATTCACATTTCAATAATCTAGCTCTAGAAGAGCTAATCTCTGATATACCATGTGCAGAAAAAACTCATCTATTTTTTTTCATAACTTTTCCTTTCGAACTTTTGCTCAAAATCGATAAATATCGATACTCTTGATCAGCTAGAACAGACTATCCAGCCCTCTTCTGCTTATAATATACTAGAAATAATATTTCTAATTTCAGTTATTTATAAGAGCTTATATAGTCTCTCGTATATCATGTGCTTACTTTTGCTAAAAATCGATAAATATCGATACTCAGCCCAGGTCAGTTGTGCCTATGTTGCGGACTATTTGCGACCTCAATATTTTACTTAAGATTCTCTCATAAACCTATCTAGAACCATACGCTGAGTTCTGAGTTCCTTGCCTCACTCCCCACTCCCATCAAAAATAAAGAGATGTTATTCTACACACACACACACTTTTGAGTGTTACCTTTAAGCCCTTCAAGTTTTATAATGTTCGAAGAATAAACAAAGAAGTTATATGAGAATAGAAGAAAGCACAGCCACAAGCTAAGGGAAGGAAGCAGCACAGTGTATATAGGGTTTTCTTTTGGACATATATGTTATATGCTGGGTATCTCCTAGTCGGTCAGCTGTTCCAGACTGAAGCACTCTGCCTAGTGCAGCCTTGAAGTCGACGGCACTTGGACACCTGCTGGAGAGACCCTGGTCTAGGCACGTCTTTTAATTGCGGGAATATCCCAAGTTCTTTTTGCCATATTCTCGCTCCGAGGATTTATGTGCGCTTGTTGTGCTTGACTTTCCGTGGAATCTGGTCGGCGGCTTATCGACTTTCATTTGGTTTGCTTGCCACGTTACCAACGCCCCTTCCCCCTCCCCAACTCCCCCTCACTTCGTTGCAGCCATTGACCAGAAAATCTCGTTTTAATACGAGTTCATGTGTCGCTCTCTCTCCATCTACTCACGCGCTCTCTCAAGTGGGTGTGTGTGTGTGTGCTTGAGTGTGCTTGTGTGTGTGTATCTGTTAGTTGATTTGTCTGTTTGTCTCTGTTGCTTCTTTTAGATCCGTATCAGCTGCTGAACGCTGCCTCGCACCGATTGGTCGCCCAGGGCTCGGGCGGCCAGATACAGCTGTGGCAATTTCTGTTGGAGCTGCTCGCTGATTCGTCGAACGCCAACTGCATCAGCTGGGAGGGCCAATCGGGCGAATTCCGGCTCATCGATCCGGACGAGGTGGCCAAGCGCTGGGGCGAACGCAAGGCCAAGCCAAACATGAACTACGACAAGCTGAGCAGAGCTCTACGGTGAGTAGCAAATGGACCCAACACACAACTGGAGCACTAATTCCGACGCTCTGACTCATCCCCAAGCCCAAGCCAGACAAACTAGTTAGCTATATGCTGATATCAATGAGAGTAGGTAGAACAGTTTGTGTGTAAATGTAGAAGGTAGCATATACGACCCTAGAGACTAGAGATTTTATTGAGCAATATCCGATCCAGCCATGTCCGTATATCCATCCCTCAGCCTGTTCCTCTGTTTGACCTCTTGGATCTCGCCAAGCTAAAAAGCTAGAGAGTGAAATCATAGGTAAGATATGCTCGTCTTTCTTCCACAGCTCCAGCTCATCATTGTATATTCTATATCTCCTTCTAATTTCATAAAATCGATTAATATCGATTTTGATTCTTTGCAGCCTAAGTCAGAGATTATAAGAGGCAGGGAAAACACAACTAAACAGAAAACATGAAACTTAAAGAAAATGTAAATTAATTCGTTTTTAGGAAAGAATTCTTTAAGCTTATGTTTATTTATTGGCAGAAAAATCGAAATGCATTTCAGTTGGAAGATTGTTTTAAAGCTTTAATGATGCCGTCTTTATTCAGAGAGTTAAACAAATCTTGTTTTTATAGCTAGAGCCTTGTGCCTGGGTATACACGTAAATAATGCTTCCGTATTCAATTCCTGAAAATTTCATAAAGATTGAACTTGAAAGAGCCGAGTTATTCAAGGATGAATTTAACCAAGTGTAGAGTAGGGAAGGTCAGAGGAAGAGGTTTTTGCAAGCATAGAAGAAAGTTGGAACGTATGTTAAGGCAGCTTGGAGCTGGAAGCAGGGTATCTGCTAGTCGTGCACTCCCGACTAGCGCACTTTTACTTGCTGTCTTTCTTTAAATTTATCTTTCTTTGTTTTTACTTATTTTTTTAATATTTATTTTTAGCTACTACTACGACAAGAATATCATGACCAAGGTGCATGGCAAGCGTTATGCGTACAAATTCGATTTTCACGGCCTGATGGCCGCTTGCCAGGCACAGGCGCAGGGCTGTGATCCGGCCAGCAGCATGATTAGTTCCTACAAGCATCATCATCATCATCATCATCATGCCGCCGCTGGCGGTGGCCCACATGCGCTGTCCACGCAGCATTTGCCGCATCATTTGGCGCATCATTCCCATCATGGCCATCATTCGCATGTGCATCCGCATCAGCTGCTGCATCCACATGCCGCCGCCGCCGCCGCCACAGCAGCGGCAGGAGCCGCATCGGAGCTCACATCGCCGGCATCGACCTGCTCCAGTCTGGGCTTTCCCTCGCCCTCGACAGCCTCCTCGTTGCCCTCGCCGGGACAAGTGTCGTCGGCGTTTGCCGGACCCGGCGCCTATGCAAGCGTCCCAGCCGCCGCCGGCGCGAGCTCCAGCCAGTCGTCAGATCCAAGGACCTCCAGCACGTCCGGCACAGCCGCCGCGATGACCTATGAGCAGCGCACCCCGCCCAGCAGTGCATTTAATTGAAATGGCAACCCCAATTTGTCCCGGAGGGTTGCTTGTGAGGAGGCGGGGGGCTGGGCTTGCGCAAGGGCCGCCCGCTGCGCACACTAGCCGTGTCTCCGTCTCGCTCTCCGGCCGCGACCAACCCGGTCCGGGCACTTGGGTCAAACTGTAAAAAGGTAATTTCGCCTAATGCCAGCTACTTTTGTTTTAATTGCGTAATTTCTCGTATGTGATAAACATGGAGCAATGCAGCGGGCAGCATTGCCAATAAACAAAAGCAAGAAGAAGCAATACAAGTAGAAGGTATCCGGGAACTAACCCGAGGGGGGCTCTAATTTGTTACAACGTCTGTTAAATTTTGCTTTTAAGCCTACATAATTTACTTTTAATGCGTGCGTCTATGTAAATAGAGCTTGCAAAAACGTACTTAATTCTAAGTTCACATTCAAATTGGACGTGAACAAAACAAAACGCAAAAAATACACATATAGAAATTAATATACACTCCGAGAAAAAAAAAACAGTTATTTCTCAAATTTCCTTAACTGCGAACCAGGGCTGCAAGCGTAAGCAAATCGTTTTGCTAGTTCGGTTCACAGTTCGCGGCAATGCCTCGCACAAGGCTATGATTCGTGAACCTGGCTTACCGTGAACTGAAACCACTTTGAGATTCAATTGAACAATTAAGTGTTATACAATTACATATTTTTAATTAGCACGAAATAGTTGGCTTAACTGAACTCACAAATTACCTAAATATGCAATTGTATTTACAAATATTATTGCAAAGGAAGAAAATGTACAAAACTTTGCCAGCTTCAAATTTAATTTTGACTTTGATTTGTTTAACGATTCCGGTTTGAGGTTAGGTTCATTGACTAGCATTCCTTTTTGCTTTTGAAATTTTGATGTGCAACCCTGAAAAAAAGGTTTTTTATTCGGCAGTTTTTCGTTTTATTCATAAACTCTTTATTAAGAGGACGCAACGCTTATTTTAGGTAAGCATTACTTTAAAACTTATATATAAATAGTTTATTTTATATAGTTTCTTTTATATATTTACGTTTTTATGGTACGTTCTGATTTGGCATTAATTTTGACGCAATTAAGCTTGATTCGAGAAGGTGCTTACAAATGTTAAGAACAAAACGGTATGTATTTAATAAAATTCGATGGAGTACACATAATATTAGATGGCATAAACGATGGCCAGCACAATATAGACCAGGCTGAAGCCAATGAAACATAGTCGATCCACGGCGGTGGCCAGCAGCACCCAGTCGAACTGAAGGGCGCGCGCCGACGGCGCTTCGCTGGGATTGATGTCCAACGGACTGGTCATCAGATCATCGGCATTATCATACACGTGCTCATCCAGTTCCTTGGCAATGCCATTGCCCTGCTGCGAGGCGGGCAACTCAGTCACGTTGATGAACTGCGAGAGCAGCAGCCAGTTGCCCAATTTGCCGTGCAGCAGCCGCTTCACAAAGTCCGGCACGCGGCGCTTGTGCTGGGCCGTGGCCAGGTAGAGCACCACGACCTCAATAACAGTGGATATGCTAAGCAGCAGCAGGCTGGCGCTGTAGAAGACGACTAAAAAAAAAACAGAATAAGTGGCTCAGCAATATGTTTGGATAATAGAGAACTGTCTCAAGTTAACCAACACGCGCCTCGAATTCTCGTAAGTTTCGGCTCGAGCTGTTCCGAGTTGCACACGGTTGAAAAAATAGGCTTGAGCTGATCGAACTCGCCGCAAAGTCGACCACTTCTTTTGTGTTCGAACCGGTGAGCTCGAACATGCTGTGGCTGACTCGAGCAGGTTGAGCTCGAGCCGAATTCGAAGTAAGTGAATGTGGCGTAAAGCAAACTCACCCACGAGCGGCGTATTCCCGGCCAGCACCGGCAGCAGCTGGGCAAAGTACATGAGAAAGCCGGCAATCAATAGGATAAGTATGCCATTGAGCATTATCTTCTCGCCCATCTGTGGCGGCAGCCAGAAGGTGGCCAGCGCCAGAAGCACAATGCACGTGGCTGGCGTATAGATGACGGCCGTGTACATAGAGGAGCGTCGCTGCGCCGTAAATATGAACTCCACATAGCTATAATAGTCCTGATGCACAAACTGTGTCCAGCCACTAACAATTTGCCACTCCGTGGACTGCACCAGCTCCTCATAGTCGAGCGCATTCTTGTTATGCGCATTATATTCTGCCTGAAGGTGGCTCAGCGACCAGGTGCCAATCTTCAGCTTGCACGTCTGCTCATCGTATGGCCAATTAATCATATTCAGATTGCAATAGGCCGTATAGACAGCCGGCGGTACCCAGAGGAAGCTGCCATCGTTGGACAGTATCACCTGGGTGCTAACCAGATAGTTGACCTCATCGGCGGCGGCATTGAAGAGCGTTATCTGCGGCTTCCACACCTTATGGTCCGGTATATGCAGCTTGGTAATGTTGTCGTACTGCAGTATATTCCAGGAGCGGTCATCATCCTGCCAGCGCTGTAATTGAAACCAACTGAATAAACATGTTTCTTTGTTTTGCATTCTTCACTCACGACGCTCAGCCAGCAGTGGAGCGTGATCTTGCCGTTCAGCTCATCGATATCTATATAGTTCACCGAGAGGCCCAGACTTATGTTTGTCGGCCTGCCCTGCATAGTGGGCTCGGCGTTCACGTCGTAGTTGATGAACAGATTCATCTGCAGCCGATCGAGTGCACTGATATTGGCCGCCTTCGAGCCGCTTCCCTCTGCGTCATCCTTTTGGGCTGTTCCGAAGGAGCATGTGATTAAATTTAAAGAAATAGTTGATAGTTCGATTTAGGTTGAGGCTCGGTTCGTACCCCATTAATTTTTAAAATGCAAATTAAACAATTGTTTTTGCAGCCTTACTATGTATACTTATTGGACTTACAACTGGCGCTTGGCACGGAAACGAGCAGGAATACCAGCAAGATCGTCAGCAGCCCACGACCGGAAATCAATGTCTTTATCTTGGTCGACATTGTTATTTCTCAAGTTCAGAGTGTGCGTTTTTTTTTTTGTTTTTGGCTTAAGAATTTCAGTTATTCTAATTTAATGTGCGCCCATCGGTCTCTGGATAACGACTGAGCATCGACTCCAGAGCCAGCCGAGGGTTTCGCACATGGCTGCAGCCAGTGATAAAGCAAGCCTCGTCGCTGGCATCGACAGTTGTGGCGAGCGGTAGTATATAAGATAACACAAGCGCTTACTTATGCAGTCAACTGTATGTAGCCAGCGTACGTACAGTGGATGTCGCAGACGCCCACACAAAATACTTGGCGACTAGCAATTCAATTGGATTCGTACATTCCAGCTCCTTCCAATCAGAGAAATTCAAATCACAACGGTTTATCATTGGTGTTAACAGTGTGATAAGAAGCTGCACAGTGCCATTTTGAGTTTAACAGCACTAGTTAACATTTCAAAAACATAATTTTCCCCATGAACATTTCGCGCATGTAAGTTAAACCAAAATGCATATCTATTTGCTGAGGCAGTATATTATAAGAGAAGAAATTTAAGTCTATGAATTTCGCTTAATATTAAAAAAAATGCAACTAGCTTATGTTAAACAATAAGTATCCGAAACGATAAATCGGCATGTTATCGGCCGTCTCTAGCGTTGACGTGTGCGTCGTTTGCACTTATTGTTGTTGTTGTTGTTGTTGTTGTGTGGCTGCGTGTCACAATTGTTACCCCTAAAACCGCGAGCCAAACGATTTTTGTTAGAAATCGTCAACGGCAACTAAAATATAGAGTTAAAGTTAACTGAGACAGGCAACGCATAACAACAAACATGGCGGAGGAAGTCATCGGCAGCGTTAAGAATGCAATCAAGGGCATATTGGAGAATGTGAATGGAAATGCGAACGCGAATGCAAAAAATGAATCCATCACAAACGAAAAGAAGCCATCGACGCCGGAAGGCATCGCCGTGGCGTATGGCAGCCTGGTCATAATGGCCATGTTGCCCATCATTTTCGGCTCCATACGCTCGGTTAAGTTGCATAAACTGAAAAAGGTGAGTACCTTTTGTTATGTCCCCGCCGATGGCTTTCACATTATGACTTTCTCCACAGTCGACGGGCGAGAAGGCAGACACAATGACCAAAAAGGATGCCATGTACTTTCCACTGATCGCTTCTGTGGCGCTGTTCGGCCTGTACATGTTCTTCCAGATCTTTCAGAAGGTGCACATCAACTTGTTGCTAACCGGCTACTTCTTTGTGCTGGGCGTCATCGCGCTGGCCCATCTGCTTAGTCCGGTGATCAATTCGCTGATGCCGGCCGCCGTGCCAAAAGTACCATTCCATATACACTTCACCAAGGGTGAGGGTAAACACAAGGAGGACATCATCAACTACAAATTCTCCACGCATGACATTGTCTGCCTGATCATCTCGTCGATCATCGGCGTCTGGTATCTGCTGAAGAAGCACTGGATCGCCAACAACATGTTCGGTCTGGCGTTTGCCATCAACGGAGTCGAGATGCTGCATTTGAATAACTTTGTTACCGGTGTCATACTGCTGAGTGGACTGTTCTTCTATGACATCTTCTGGGTGTTTGGCACCAATGTCATGGTCACTGTGGCCAAGAGCTTTGAGGCGCCCATCAAGCTAGTCTTTCCCCAGGACATACTCGACAACGGCCTCAACGCCTCGAACTTTGCCATGCTCGGCCTGGGCGACATTGTTATTCCCGGCATCTTTATTGCCCTGCTGCTGCGATTCGATGACAGCAAAAAGCGCAAGACGCGCATCTACTTCTACTCCACGTTAGCTGCCTATTTCATGGGTCTAATGGCCACGATATTCGTGATGCACGTCTTCAAGCATGCACAGCCGGCGCTGCTCTATCTGGTGCCCGCCTGCATGGGCACGCCCCTGCTGGTGGCCCTGATCCGCGGCGAGCTGAAGGTGCTCTTTGCGTGAGTCCTGCCCTCGCCTCGATTATTCAAAGAGATTAACATGGTTTATTCGTTTGCCCACAGCTATGAAGATCATCCCGAAGAGAAGCCTGAGAAGAAGGAGAAAAAGGAGAAGGATGAGAGTGGCAGCAACAGCGGCAGCAGCAGCAGCAGCAAGAAAAAGGACTCCAAGAAGGCCAAATAATTCATTTAATGAATTCCAAGCGCCGTTTCCACCAGCAAGCAGCAGCAGCCCGCGTACAAGTCTTCTATTTTTGGCTAGTAACAAGTAATAAGCACTACATTTTATTAATTTTTATTTTGCGTTTTGTTTTCTTTCTTAAATTAGCTTCCATTTATGCTTAATGCAATTTACTGCAATCAATCTATAAAAGACGATTTTGACTATTAGAAAGTTAGGCATGTTCCTTCTTTCTGTTCGATTAGGTTTTATTAATAAGAGATCAGTTTTCGCAAATCCAATCTTTTTATATCAAATACCAAAATCAAAAGTCCATAATTCTATTTAAATGAACTGTAACAAAATTACATCTAAGAACAATAACAATAAATTGAAATATTCCGAATACTTAATCGATGGGGCATCCGGAGGAAATATCCGTTGTGCCAATATCGATAATTAATTAGCACGTAGTGTGACCGAGCTCAATTAATTAAATAAGGCGTACATTTTAAATCGAGACAAATCGCAATTATTTATACTTAAATAACGATATGTAAAATTTGATGAAAACTAATTTCTCTGTTAGCAGCTTTCTTTAGTATTTTGTGGTATATTTATGGATACTTGATTTGGCCACACTGTTTCCGAGAGTGGCGCGTATCGATATATCGATATTTTCTGCCATCCCTAATGCAAGCCGAAGCCGTCAAATTGCGCTAATTTTGTGTAAAAAATTTTCAAGTTTGGTGGAAAAACTACAAAATTGAAAGTTATTTTAGCTGTCCAAGGCAGCAAACGCAACACCAAGGTATGTACTCGCATTGAAATGCATGGGTTTGCATTATTTTAGCGTTATAGCGAGCATATTTTTTTTCCGTTCAGACGCAAGCAGCGTGTACAGCGTAGGTAGAAGCAGAGAGACAAAACGGAGAAACGGCAATAGTTTTCACAAAAGCAAAAAGCAACAAAAGGTGCAAAACACAAAATGTCTGGCATTGCTATAACACGTTTGGGCGAGGAGCGTAAGGCATGGCGAAAGGATCATCCGTTTGGGTTTGTGGCACGACCTGCCAAGAATCCCGATGGTACACTGAACCTCATGATTTGGGAGTGCGCCATTCCCGGCAAGAAATCGACACCCTGGGAGGGTGGCCTCTACAAGCTGCGCATGATCTTCAAGGATGATTATCCAACCTCGCCACCGAAATGCAAATTCGAACCGCCGCTATTCCATCCCAATGTCTATCCGTCGGGCACCGTCTGCCTGTCGCTGCTTGACGAGGAAAAGGATTGGCGTCCAGCCATTACCATCAAACAGATTCTGCTGGGCATACAGGATTTGCTTAACGAGCCCAATATCAAGGATCCTGCCCAAGCAGAGGCGTACACCATCTACTGTCAGAACCGGTTGGAGTACGAGAAGCGTGTCCGTGCCCAGGCCCGCGCCATGGCTGCCACCGAATAGAGTTAAAATAAGCAGGCAGCAGCAAATACCGCTACTCTCCATGAAAGCACACACACACACACACCGACACAAACACACACACATTCAAATCAACCTTTTCAATGGGCAGACAGTCAAGTGATCATCCAACACACACACACACACAAACACGAACACACATAAACATTTAGGAAGGAGGCGTTTTCGGGAATGCCTCTTCTAATTACAAGAAAACATTTTAATAATTCTTAAGTTGATTTAAAATGATAAAAAGAAAAGAGAAAACAAAACAAAAGAAACAATATGAAGAATTCGGTTTGCACCAATTATAAATTATATATATACATATAAATTACTTACACTTAACAATTACATCATGTAGAATTCCTTATTTCACAGCACTGTAATTTTCGCATTAATTGTGTTTCAATAAATTTATATGATATATGTATGTAATAATGTAAGTTCGCTTAAGCATATATATTGTATGTATATATTTTCACATTTGTCTTATACACAGCGGATGACGTCATCGCCCGCTTACGTGGCATATTGCCATGGCTTTCGGTTCTCGCTGAGTTTTTTTTTTGACTGCATTCAAAACGAAAAATATTTAAGCACACGCTTTTATCGGGGAGAGAGGTGAGTGTTTGTTATTTAAAGTAAATTAATTAAAATTTGTATTGCCATTAAATTTATTATTGGCAGCCCAAAAAGTAGGCAACGAAAATGTTCATTTTCGGCCAACTTTGTGATTGCGTTCTATATAGAAAAATCGCTATAACTCGGCCATATGCTTGCAGATTTTCAAAGGACATGGTGCGTTAGGATCGTAAGGACCCCCCACATCGTTCTGCATCAAAATATTAGGGGGTCGTCTAAGAATCCAGCACTTGGTGAAAATTTCAGCCGAAAATTGCTCGGAAATGAGGTGAAAACAGAAAATCCTTAATATTTCGGAAAATACAAGGACGATCTTGATGTCCTTTGGCCAGTTGGTGTGTATGGTCAATACAATTTGTTTGCCACAGGACTCGTCAGGATACGACAGGATATGGCGGAGTTATGGCCTATTTTCTCTTGCAAAAATTGTCCTTAAAACTTTGCCATTTGAAGGACTTTCGTCCTTTTTGTTGTATTTTCTTAAATGGGAGGCCGAGCACTATCTACAGTTCAAAGGACATCCCGATAGTCCTTCAAATGGCGAAGTTAGACCCGAATTTTTCGATTTTGGCCACTTTTGCGACTTACCCCCTATGAAATATTTTGGTAAAATTTTTTGTCGAATCTTGGAAATCCTTGAATGCCAATCGATAGTCCTGTTCCCCACGAGTTCAAAAAGGTATATCCTTCCGAGATCCTAAAGGATTTGGCCGAGTTATGGGTAATTAAAAAATGTCCGTTTTAGTAAATAAGGCATATCTCGGAAAGTAGAAGGACGATTTTGATGTCCTTTGGACAGTTTATAGCTGTGATCAATACGAGTTGTTTGATACAGGACTCGTCAGGATACACAAGGATACGGCTGAGCTATGGCCTTTCTAATATTGAAAAGAAATGTCCTTATATCCCGGCTCTTAGGAGGACTTTCGTCCTTTTCTTTGTATATTCTGAATTGGCAGGATAAGCACATTTTGCTACCCGAAGGACATTCGCATAGTTCTTTAATTGCCCGAGTTATCGCCGATTTTGTGATCATGTCATTTTTAGTTTTGGAACGTCATATCTCCCCGCGGGAGCTATGTCGTTTTGGAACGTCATATCTCCCCGCGGGAGCTATGTCGTTTTGGAACGTCATATCTCCCCGCGGGAGCTATGTCGTTTTGGAACGTCATATCTCCCCGCGGGAGCTATGTCGTTTTGGAACGTCATATCTCCCCGCGGGAGCTATGTCGTTTTGGAACGTCATATCTCCCGCGGAGCTCAATCCCATGGACAACATATAATCAGCAAATGATCGATACTCTTGGTACCTAGTTGACTAACATATCCTTGGTTCCATATCATGGATATAGTCCTAGCGAACCTAAAGGACCGAGTTCTCGCATAATGCGCGAAAACAGGGTCCAAAAATATGTATGCTTTTGTATTACAGCCGCCCCCAGCAGCAGCCCCGCCCCCTGGATGGTTTCTAGTTGACTAACATATCCTTGGTTATGCCATGCCATTGATATAGTCCTTGGAAACCTAAAGGATCAGATCCCTGCAAAATGTGCATTGAAATGGTCCAAAAACATGTATGATTTTTCTTTCAGGAGCCCTTTTACATTGGCTGCAGCTGCAGTTGTTGTTTAACAGCGGCCTTAAATCACTCAATTTACATAAACTGTTAGTTAACAGTACTCATTTTAATTGAGCTACATTTTTGCCCCTTAATGCTATGCAATGAAAATTTTTATTCAAACCACTCGGCGACCTTCTGGGCATTTCTGTTCGCCTGGTATTTTGGCAGATTTTAAGAAAAATCTCGGCAGCCAGCGGTTGCCAACGGTCGTTCCTGAAAAGTGATTTTTGCTTTCGGAAATAAAAAAAACAGGAGTTTGTTTTTATTTAAACATTTAATTTAATTAATTTGAACATTTAAATTAAACAAATAAATAATTACAAAATTTTTTTTTTTTTTTTGGAAAATGAGTCATAACTTGGGAATGTCCTTGCAGATTTTCAAAGGACATGGTGCGTTAGGATCATATAGATCCCCTGCATCGATATGCATTAAAATATTAGGGGGTCATCTAAAAATCACAGGACTTGTATTTCGACTTGTAAAATTTCGGTCCCGGAGCGCACGGAAATGGCCCGAAATCACAAATCCTTCAATATCTCCAAAACTAGCAGGACGATCTTAATGAATTTTTGCCAGTTGGTAGGCCTGGTCCATACAATTTATTTGCCACAGGACTCGTCAGGATACGACAGGATATGGCGGAGTTATGACCTATTTTCTCTTTCAAAAATCGTCCTTAAAACTTTGCCATTTGAAGGACTTTCGTCCTTTTTGTTGTATTTTCTTAAATGGGAGGCCGAGCACTATCTACAGTTCAAAGGACATCCCGATAGTCCTTCAAATGGCGAAGTTAGACCCGAATTTTTCGATTTTGGCCACTTTTGCGACTTACCCCCTATGAAAAATTTTGGTGAAATTTTTTGTCGAATCTTGGAAATCCTTGAATGCCAATCGATAGTCCTGTTCCCCACGAGTTCAACGAGGTATATCCTTCCGATATCCTTAAGGATTTGGCCGAGTTATGGGTAATTAAAAAATGTCCTTTTTAGTAAATAAGGCATATCTCGGAAAGTAGAAGGACGATTTTGATGTCCTTTGGACAGTTGATAGCTGTGATCAATACGAGTTGTTTGAAACAGGACTCGTCAGGATACACAAGGATACGGCTGAGCTATGGCCTTTCTAATATTGAAAAGAAATGTCCTTATATCCCGGCTCTTAGGAGGACTTTCGTCCTTTTCCTTGTATATTCTGAATTGGCAGGATAAGCACAGTCTGCTCACCGAAGGACATTTGCATAGTCCTTGAATTGCCCGAGTTATCGCCGATTTTGTAATCATGTCCTTTTATGAAAAACAGCCATAACTCGGTTATATCCTTGCAGATTTTCAAAGGACATGGTGCGTTAGAATCGTAAGGACCATCCGCATCGATCTGCATCAAAATATTATGGGGTCATCTAAGAATCCAGGACTTGATGAAATCGCAGGACACATTCTAAAAACAGAAAGCAGAACATTTTCGTTACATTTTGGTTATGGGAAAATCGTAAAATTAGGGTTATATCTTTATTGTTTATTTTGAATAAATTAATTACTTTTATTGTCGCACACTCTTATTAAATACGTATTACATATATATTTTTTACGTAAATATATATATTTCTATATATATATATGTTTAAATTACACAGTTTTATTTGTTATATAAGTTTGTGGGCTTTAGACGCGTCACGATGTACAATAATAATTATGCATATTATTGGATCTATTAGGATTATTTACCGTTTAGCCCAAAATGGTTATTGGGTAGGTTCTCAGAGAGAACTGGAGAGAGGGAGAGCATAGTCCCCAGGATAAACTCTATGCTATAGATATCGAAAACTTGTAGTTTCTTGCACTTCGATTATGGTTTCTTCTCTTAGTGGTAAGCTTTGGCATGCATTATATGTCATGATTTCTACGGTACAGATACATATATAGTATATATCTTGATCTATATCTACATCTATATCTATCTAGGTGTGGTTGTCTTCATGTATGTATATCTATATTGCCTGGTTATGATTAATCTGGATCTATCTATCGGCGTGTCCTGGCAGGCGGCACAGCTGGAGATTCTCCGCAAATACTTTCGATATCGTGTCGGTGGTGTTGGTGGTGCTGGTGGTTGCGTTTTATGTGGTCCGGTTAGAAGCACTTGTAGTACCATTCCAGCTGCTTGCGCTGCAGCTCCCACATCAGCTGGCTCTCTCAAATGGCCGCCTCCTGCAGGTTCTCCTTGTTCTTCTGCAGCAGGAGCAGCTCGCTGGGCGACTGCAGCGGCAACATGGTGGTGTTTCCCCCAACACCACCAACGACGCCGCCACCACCGACGATCACTGTGGGACTGGGGCTGTCGTTGGCCTCGGGTCGATGCAGCTTGCTCTTGCAGTAGAATTGTTTGTGCGCCAGAAAAGTCTTCACATAGTTGAACGATATGTCGCAGGTGGAACAGTATTTCTTCATGGCCTCCGCAGCGCTCGGGCCGAGCGGCGAGTTGGCCATCGGCGGTGGCAGCGCGGGCGTCGACAGCTCCATGCCCATGTCCAGCGGCTCGGCCTTGATGTGCGTATGCGGCGTTCCAATCGGCGAATTGTTGTTCTCATGCACCAGACTTAGCGTGGCCACCGGCTGCTCCAAGGGCTCCGATTTGATGTGGAAGCTGCAAGAGATTAAGCAAGAGACCTTAAGTTGGCGCTTATTTGTATTTAATTTTAGAAATTCATTAACTTTATGACCTCAACTCGTTTTTAACTGTCATGGGCTTAGGAATTAAGGAATCCAGGCATTTAGATTTTCATTTCTTTAATGCCCATCGATAGTACGGATCCTTATGAGTTGAAAATGGTATAAAATTCTATAATCGGACATTATTTAGCCGAGCTATGTGCTTACCTGGCCTCGCGCTCGCCATTGACCAGGGCTACTTCGGGCAGGACATGCGGATTGGCGTCAAGTTCGCGCGACTCAGGCGAAATGGAGGGCGAACTGAGGGCCACGTGCGGATGCAGCAGCTTCATGTGGCGCAGCTGTGCGGGGCAAACAATTCGTTAGAGTGACAGCTGCTTGGAATTAGGCTGAAGCGATGAATACTCACCACGTTGCCCTTGTAGGTGGAGGCATAGTTGCAGTGATCGCAGTTGAAGAGCTGGGCCGGATGCTGATCGAGCTGCTCGACCTGTCCGGCCAGATCCAGGCTCAAGGCTGGCGGCGGCGGCGGCTGTGCTGCCGCCTGTCCGGCTGCATCTTCCTCGAAGATGCAGGTCATGTAGTGCTCCTCGTTGACGTCGCTGGTCTTCTTGTCGAAATGGGTGCGTATGTGGGTGCGCATGCCGCGCAGCGTGTTGCCCTTGTACTGGCAGATGCTGCAGCGGAACGCCTTCACTGTGCCGTGCATCTCCATGTGCTTGCGTGCCAGCGCCGCGGTCGGGCTGATGACGCCGCAAACCGGACACTTGTTCACGCTGTTCGAGCCGGCGACGACGGCGGCCGGCAGCTGGGGCGTGGCTGCCGGCAGAGGCGGCGGCGGCACAGCGCAGGGCTGGCCCGGCTCATGCAGCGTCTTGCACTTGGCACACTTCTCCTTGAGCTGGGGCACAGTTGCCGCCTCAGCGGGCGCCGCCGCGCTTGCTGCCGCTGCCCCGCCCTTGGGACAGTAATAGTTCTGATGGGCGCGCAGATTATCCAGCGAGGTGTACTTGATGCCGCAGGCGGCGCAGATGAGCTGCTGGTAGGCCACGGGCGTGGTCTCCGCGCCGCCCGGTCCGGCGCCTGGTCCGCTGCGATCCGCCGCCGCGGGTGGTGTCACAGCGCCGATCTTGGGATCAGCCTCGCCGGTCGGCTCCTGGTTGCGCGCGGAGCAATAGTGCTGCTTGTGGGCCAAATAGTTCTCGTATTTACAGAAGACAATGTTGCACTCCTTGCACTTGGAAACGCCCTGCTTGACATAGATCTGCGGCTGCTGGCCGCCGGGTGCGACGCTATTGGCAGCAGCGCTGGCGGGAAAGCCCAGCTTGGTGGCCAGCTCGGCGCTGGTGCTGCTGCCCGCGACGGCTGCGGCGGCGGCGGCTGCCAGCTTGAGCGCCAGCTCGGGATTCGTTTTGGCCAGCAGCGATTCGGTTAGCGCAAAGTCCGCTGGCAGCATGGAGCGCAACGGCGGCAGCTGGTCCAGCAGATGATGTGGCACGGCCACGCCCAGCACCGGCGGCGACATGGAGGCAGCGCTGCCTGCACCAGAGCTGCGCGGACTGATGGCGCGTCGCTTGGGCGAAGGACTCATCGAGGGGCTGCTGGGCAGCGAGGGCGCGCACACTATTTGCTCCGGCGTGACGCTGCCGCCGACTCCGCTCTCTAGATTCTCCTTGGCAGCGCCCAGTAGCGCCTCCTCGGCGTCCAGCAGCGCGGCGGAACGCACCAGCCGTTGGCGCTGGAGCAGCGCGGCGATTGGCGAGCGGCGCAGCGACAGATCCAGCGGCGTAGTCTCACTGCGGGAGGGGGAGCGGGATTAATAAAGGAATTTAAGCAAAGCTCAGCCCGTTGCAACTTACCGTGTGCCGGCGGCTTCCTTGCGCTTTGGCTCCGGCGGACTGCTCTTGGGTTCCGGCTCCATGCCGCTTGAACGCTCTGGCTCCTGTGCGGGCAGGCTCAGCTGCTGCTGGCTGCTGTTGCTGGCCATAGGATTGGGCGTGGCCGTGGGCGTGGCATTGCCCGTGAGCGCATTGATATTGAGAGCCGTGGCCAGCGGCTTGAGGGCGCCATTGTCGAGCGTGAAGCACGTGGATTCCGGATTGACAATGCCCGACGTGGAAGTGGTGCTGCAAATGGACAACAATTGGCGTGAGTTAAATGAAATCCTTGTAGTGTTATGCAAACGAAGAAACAAATAAATTTAAAGAAACTAAAGTTATGTTTACAAAGAAGGTTCGAATCCACTTCTACGAAAAGTCCAAATCTAATCCGAATCGCACATAATATTTCAGACTAGTTTCCAACTCATTTCCAAGCTCTTGGTAAAAGTTCATTAAAGTTTGATATGATCAAGCGAACGCGAACATGTTCGAGCTAAACAGTTCGAGCTAATCAGCAGTCGAACGACTCAATTATTTAGCAGCAACTCGAACACCTCGGTCCGAACAAGTTTAAGTCTTGACTAATTGTTTAAGTATTCGAAACGCGTTATGTTTGACTTATTGCTGAGCTCTAGTTCGAGCCCTGCACCGAAGCAGAGACAACTTTTACATTTGGATTTGCTGTAGAGGTTAAAGTTAACGAGCAATACTCACAGTGGACCCGGTATGAGGCTGGCTGCGCGTATGAGCGAGCAGGGCACTATAATGATGGGATTGGTGGGCAGCGCCAGAAAGGGTTGCGGCGGCGCCACCTGCAGCGAGGCGGCGGCAGCAGCTGCGGCAGCCGCAGCCGCAGCAGCAGCAGCAACCATTGCCGGCGTGGGTGTCTTGTTGCGCGTGCTCTGCGGACTGTGGGCGCCGCTGTGCTTGCCCGCTGCGGCGGCAGTTGGAGCTGTTGTTGCGGCGGGGGGACCCGTGCCGGCGCTAGCCTCCGGCTTGGGCGTCAGCTGTCCGTCGCTGCGCCGGGAGCTGCAATAGTGCTGCTTGTGGGCGCGGTAGGTCTTGATGTTGTTGAAGCGTATATCACAGTCGCTGCAGTAGCGATCGATTTGCTGTGGGGAATGCGAGGAGGTCATGTTAGCTTTTGGGCTGGGCTTTGAGCTGTGCGTCAACCAACTCACTTGACTAGAGCTCTCCTCGAGCACACCGGCCGTGGCAACGCCACCAACCCCGCCGTTGGCCACCAGGCTGTTGAGGCTGGGCGCCGCCGGCGAGGTCTGGTGCATGCGCATGTGCCGATTGAGGGAGACCTTCTTGTCGGCGCTGTAGGAGCACTGCGTGCACGCGTATTGCTTGCCCGTGCGCGCCATTTTTGCTGGTGGCTCTGAGCCGGAGCTGCCGCCGCTGGAGCTGCTGTTGGCATTGCTGCCGGGGCCGGAGCCGGAGCCAGCTGCTGTGCCGGATGTCAGCTTGTCGCCGGCGGGCGTCATCTCCTCGTCGGCGTCCTTGTTGCGATGCGAGCAATAGTAGGCCTGGTGCGCCTCCAGCGTTGAGGGCGAGCTGAAGGCTATGCCGCAGGGCAGGCACATAAACCGCGCTGGCTTCAGCAGCGGTTCCACCAGGCTGCTGGCATCGGGCAGACTCTGCTCGGGCTTGGCCAGCTGCGGCGGTGGCGCCAGCAGGCGTGGCTCGTGCGGATGCAGCTCCTTGGCGTCCGGCTTCAGAGCCGGATCGGAGGCGAGCAGCGCATTCAGACGCAGCTTGGGCAGCATTGTCGGTGGTGTGGGCGTTGCCGGCGGGCTGGGCGTGGCTGCCGCTGAAGGCGGCGTCGCCGGCGTATCAGCTCGCTCCAGCTTGGGCACCAGCTCGGGCGTGGGACTACGCGGCGGCGTCGTCGAGCTGTCGGCCACACTGGCGCTGGCCTCCTGCGCTGCCTGGGCCTCCTCGACCATGTCCTGATCCATGTCAGTCTCCTCGGGCTGCTCGGAGGCGTTGCTAGTTTGGTTCTGGTTTTCGAGCTGCGCGTCTTCAAGCTGCTGCTGCGGCTGTTGTTTCTCCTCGCTAAGCTCGTGTGCGCCCAAATCTTTGGATTCTGCAAAGATGCAAAAACAAATAATTAATGACGCCCAACGTGTGAAATCAAGAGTACATATTTAAAGTTGAATAAGGCATGGATGTATGGACAAATTTGTATAGTTTTATTATTATTTATTTTATTGTTGATAAATGCGTCTAAGTTCCATGAGCCTGCGTCGAGCTAACTAAATAAAGGCGCCCAACGTAGGATTACAAAAGAATATATTATATATAAAGTTATGGATGGGGGTGGATGTGAAATGGAAGTATGGAAAACTTTTTGTTTTATTATTTATTTTATTGTTGAAAAAAATCGTCTAAGTTTCATGAGTTTATGTGGGACTAACAAGCGAGAAATCGCCGGTTCAAAACCGGCACCAATTCCTCATATTTATATTTGTTTATTACGCCACAAAGTGAGCAGTGGACGATGCCGGGTAACTTCTGCCCGTATCTGTATAAAAGACCAAACAGTTAACAAATTTGATTGCCCGGCTGCCAAGGCGAATTCCATGTATGCATCAAATGCGGCCAGAGGTTAGCAATTATTATCGAACAAATTGTCAGCGTTTCGAGAGTCGAGTCGACAGGCAGCTGTGAAAACAATGCGACGTTGTCCCCAGTTGAGAGACTGGAGAGTCGCGAGGTTGTCGACCAGGTTGACCAGGCTGAGCAGGCTGGGCAGTCGAACTGGCGACCAATCGACCATTTGGCTTTAAACATTTATCCCGCGAACGCATCTCGAGGCTGTTGCGGATTACGTGGAAAAGCTGGCAACTGGAAAAGCCGCATGGTGGTCAGAGCTTGGCACAGTTGATGATTAGAGCACACGGCCAGGCATCTGACATCTGATTTGTATTTGTTTTGGCCACAAAATATTATAACGACCAGCGATGCGGCAGATAAGCGCAGCAGCAGCAGCAGCAGCAACAGTCGCAGCAACAGTTGCGCGGCGGACAGCAACATGGCCAGCAAATAGATATGAAGGCGCCGATAAACCAGCCCACAGAGACCAGAGAGTCTGCTCGTGCGGGCCGCCAATGCGCGTTGACCTGTCAATTGTGGGCTATTGAAATGTCAGCGCAACTTGTTGCCCGTTTGTTGCCCGCTTTGCCTGTTGCAACTGTAATTTGTTGCCGTTGTTGCTGTTGTTGTTGCTGTTGCTGTTGTTCGTTGCCAAGTTCGTCGCCTCAGTCTTTTGATTGCTGGGGACGCATTGACGCGCCGCGGTTGCGCCCACCGCACGTTCGCCCTAATTGCAGTGTCGATTTTCACGAATTCACACACAAATGCTGCACCACGTGAACAATCAGACAGCATCGCGCGTTCGCCATCTCTGCACCCAAAAAAAAAAGCTTCCATTGAAAGCGACCCATGGCCCCAGCTCAAGCTGGAGCTGCTCCGTCTCGACTCCTCTCTGGCCCGGCGCATTCCAGCGCATTCTGCTTATTTGTAAGATATTTATTGCCATCGATTGGCGCGCGATAAGCAGCACACGTAAAGTGTTTGCCGGTTACGGCGCAGACTACACGCCAGCAACAACAACAGCAGCAGCAACAACAGTTCCAGCTTCAGCTCCAGCTTCGCAGCTTATCCAGTTTGTGTATGGACAAAGCTTAACCAGGCGCAAAGACGCTAACAATGGGCTCCAAAAGCTGCAGTTGCTGCCGGCAGCGACAGCTGCTGCTGCTGTTGTTGCTGTTGCTGCTGTTGCTGCTGCTGCTGTTGCTGCTGCTGCTGAGGATTAGCTCTGCGCTGCGTCATTTTATTGTTGTTGCTGTTTCGTTTGTTTAGCCATTTCGTAAGGTCGTCTCGCACACCTCAGCAATAGTTACATACACACACACACAGCACACACTCACATACACACTCGCACTTGCAACGGCAACGCCAACAATTGTTTATCAATTTGTTAAATCAGCTGCGCCGCGCCGTTGCCGTTGCCGTCGCCGTTTGCGATCGATCGTCGCCGATAAGCAACACACACACACACACACACACACAAACACACATACACACAACATGAGCGTTGGGGGGCAGCGGGTGCAGCCTGCTCTTGCACTTTATCAGCCGGCAGATTATTGTTGCTGGTTTCTCACTTGGCCAGCATGGTTGCTGCCGCTGCCGCTGCTGCGGCTGCTGCTGGTGGGCGTTGTATGCAGCCATAAACAATCGAGTAATTTGGCTTAAACCAGGGCCAGCCTGTGTGTGGAGTCGGGCTCGATTAAGGGGGGGGGGGGGGGGGGGGGGGGGAGCTGCTGCAAGGGCAAGGCGACCCTTTGTTCATTTGTCGCTGGTGAATGCCGGACCGCCATCGCGGCTAATCGTTGCGAGCCGAAGGTCACTTAACTCAACAAAAAAAAAAGAGAAGAAGAAAAGTAACAAGAAAGCTCCAAATGGGAAGGCACGACTAAAAGATATCCTGGGAACAACTGAACATGCCTAGCAGAACACAAATACACAAGCAGTTTAGAGAGAAGCTGTGCTTCCTTTACTAGAGCCTAGATATAAAATTTTGTGTTTGTAGCTACAATAGTTTTAAGGATATGCTCAAGAAACTTAGTCTGAAAATCGATAATAATCGATTATAATAACAAAAGAAAGTTATCGATAATTCGAATGCAGCTCTTAAAATTTTTGAAGTGTGCTCGAAGAACCAAGTCGTTAACCCGATATTTATCGATTTTAAATGCAATTGTAAAGTTATCGATAATTATAAGCAGACTAGGTCTGCATTTGCTTTGGGTGAAGCTGTGATTTTCTGATTTTGCAAAGCCAAGAGCTAACGGACAAGCGTACTTTGCGAGCTCAATTCGGCTACTTAGGATATTCTTAGCTTAAGGGTGTACAAGATGCCTGCTTCTACATGTTACCAAGCTTAAGCACAACTCAATATACCCCATTTAACGCACCAGTACAGGGTATATATATGGATAAAAAAACTTCAAAGTGTAGGCAGCAAGCTCAAGCTTTTTTGGCCAGAGTTTTTTGGAATCTTGATCGCTGTGTGGCAAAGCAGACTCAGCCAGTCGCGCCTAGGCAGCTCCAGCTGCGACGCCAGTTGGTCTGGTCGGTACTTGGTACTTGCAACAGTTGCATGGGGCGTATGCGTAATGTTTAGTTGGGGGCGTGCCAAGAGCCGCTCGCTTTGCATGGGGCGTGGGAGTGGGAGCAGGAGCAACTATTTTAGTTAGTTATAATTAAACAAATTTTCCCAGCGGGCTGCAGCCAAACAAATTGAAAAACGTGAGCCGCACAATCGGCCCGAGTTGCCGGAGTTGCCGGAGCTGCTGATAACGAAAATCTTCATTTTCGCGCGAAAATGTTGCCACCTTGTGGCAATCAACGCCATCGGCAGCCAGTGGGGACTCGGCCTCGCCAGCCTTCGGGGGCAGCTTATCAATTGTTATTAATCAACAACAAAAGGCAGCAAAAACAAATCCAGAGAGCGCTAAATTCAGCAATTCGCCAAATCGAAAAGAAGAAAAACAAAAACAAAAAAAAAAACGAGAAGAAAAGAAAAAGAGAATCGCGTTGCGGGCAACATTTCATTTCACACTTTGGCTCTTGAATACCCTGTATCAGTTGGAAATAGTTAAAGGGTAGTTTAAGATACAGATGTTCTAATCTGAAACCTATTATGGATAGAATGATATATGTTCGTATTTATGAAATTGAAGAGCTGAGCCAAGTCTTGCTTGTCTGTCTCTCAGATCTCTGAGCAAAAACCAGATGGAGCCAGAAAATTTCGTATTCAATTTGTTTAACAAAATGGAATCTTTAAAAAGCGAGGGTTGGAAAGGTGGCAAACAGTTACAAAAAATATTATAGAAAAAAAAAGAAATCTAAATTTTAGAGAATAAAAAACATTTAGCCCAATCTCACTCAATTCCGATAAAAATAAATACAATTTCAATTTTTTTTTCTTAAAAATTTATCATTTGTCTGTGCTTTATATTATATTATTGTTATTATCTTTATCTGAAGTCTCGGTTATATATAACATGATTATAATTATCTTACGTACTTTTTTTACTATTTGTATGCCCTTTCCTAAACATTTCTCTATATTTTCAGTTTTATATAATATTACTTTATCAAGACTTCTCTTAAATTCCATAAATTTTATTTTCACACCTAACAGGGTATCTGCTAGTCGACTAATGATAGCAAACATATACGTTTTTTTTCGGCTGCAACTCTGGCTGCATCTTGAGCGTTAACCCGTGCAAATAATCAACATTCTCATATCTTGGGGGCTTCGCGCAGCTATTCGTGATTTACTCGCAGTTTTTTTGTTTTGTTGTTTTTTTTTTTTCAGCACCTTCTTAGCGCTATGGGAAACGGCGGACCAGTCAAATTCTTTGATCAGCGCGGATAAGCAATTTGGTTGCCCAGCTCTTCTCTATATACTTATATGTATGTACTCTATACAATTTGCTGAGTAGCAAAAATTGGCACTTCGATTTATGGAAAGTACATAAAAGTAGTTGGACAGTTTCTGGATTTGTCGAGATCCGGAACTATCAGAGCTAGAGAGAGCTATATATTCTATTATTTTATATAGTTATTTTATATATTTAATTATTTTATTTAGGCATTATTTAATTAATAAAATGATTGGGTTTTTCTAAGCGTCGGACTAACAAGCTGCAGGTCATTGGTTCAAATGCATTAGTCGATGGATTTGTTATTATTTAAACTGTGTTAAAACTTAAAGCATCTAAATTCAAACTGAAACCGCGTCACATGCTAGCAAAAAAGCAGGCTTTATGAACCAAACCTAAAGTCGAGGCATTTGGTTTTTGAGTACAGAACATCCCCTGGTTGGGGCACGCCCAATTAGGAGCATCCAGTCGCTTCTTGGCTGCGAATTTGTCTAGTAGACGAATCATACAGAGACTCGTATGAATGCGATCGCCGACTTCGACCTGGCTCTCAACGTTCAGAGCTGGCGACTAATTTAGTGCACGGAGCGCGCGCGTCTCCAGGTAGATGTCACCGGGCGAGGTATCG